CAATGGAGATTGATAGCCGGCGGCATGAATAACTGGGTGAGCCGATGGTCGATGGCACGTGCCATCGGCTAGTCAGCCCGCACCGTAGTTACCCGTCTTTGACGTGAACTCCAACACGCGGCCCCCGAAACTGCCTGGGATGGGTGGTTATTGCGCAGACCCGTTACGTAATAGTTCAATTCGAAACTTGGGTACGTGAAGGAACCGATTTCCATTCGTGTTACATAACCATTTCATTAAGCAATCACTCAGCACAAACATGTTTCCATCTAGCTGTGAGTTCCATTTTTGCTTTTTAATACTTAACACAGGCGCTGTCGTGCAAAGCGAGGAAATATCAATATCTGTACATAAACCACCAGCCACGCGGTAAAACTGTTGCTACAAACAAATGCGGCGTATGAGGTTAAAATGTGGAATTACTGCACGCGGTCGCAGTGTTAAGTAGATGTTTGTAGAGTGTTAGCGTAGTGAGCCATTCGACCAGACATCAGTATTATACCGGACACCAGTCCCACTCACGGCGATGTGACTCGTGCATCAGAAGATTTTACCATATTATGTTTGCATCCTCGCGCAAATATGGTGGCAAATTATCGGAGGTGGTACTGAACTCTCCGGTGAGGTGCTTGTGAGATGTGACAACCAATCACAGTCGAGGATAAGATATATTTCATCCATGTAATTTCCAGCCATTGAAATGTTCTACATTGGTGTGTATTTTCTCTCCAAAGTAACGATGGTGCGATCAAGCCTGTTTCGCTTCGGAACGATCAGCGCAAATAGATCCACGGCCCAAAATCGATAAAACATGGTCTCAACTGTAAGTTGTTCAGTGCATGAGCGAAGAACATTATTCACATATATTAGGCAGCAGTATTAGCCTTATTCCTCGGAAGAACCAGGAGAATGGAGGCATACTTAGCTTGATATTTCGGCAACATGCCTTTATCGGAACAATAGCTGAAGTGAATATTTGTTCACTTAAGCCATTGTTTCGATAAAGGCATGCTGCCGTAATATCAAACTAACGATATCTCCATTCTCCTGGTTTTTCCGAGGAATAAGGCTGATACTACTGTCTAATCTTTGGTCTCAACTGCTGCCATGTGAGGAGTCGTGTACACAACACAACATGCAAAGAGACCAATTATTGACGACTCGTGCGTTCCACTGATAAAAACAACACTTTTGTTGGTTTTAAAGTATGGGGTTCATCACACCAAGCGTTGCCCTTCAGCGAATAATTCAAGCCACGCCAAACAGCACTTCATGTTTTAGAATCCAACAAGCACCAGGTTTCGGATATAAGAAGGCAATATTACAGTTAACAACATATAGCAGTATTACGGCATGTGTGGGTTAAATGAGGAGAAAATGTTCCATTACAGGAAATGTTCCACATCTAAATATATTGAGGCACGCACCAGATATGATGAAGCAATCTCACTTAACACTTTTATTTTACATCTTAGTGCCAAAAACCCGTTCAGATAACACTTCACTTTTCAGTAAATATGCTCTTAGAGACGTCATCGTTTGATTGCGCGATGGAACGCTTGTATGACGACAGCGGAGCTGTCAAACTGGCCGTGTGAAATTACCACACCAGCGGACGGGCTGACTCAATTGCAGTACTTCAGCTTCTCGGTAGGTGCCGTGGTATTAGGTGCGGCGTTTTCAGAACCTAACTATCGTTTTGTGAGGGTATTTCGGTACTTACTCTTGTTGCGCCAGCATACTGATCGCTGACTGTATATTATTTTACTTGCATTCACATTCTCGGCAATACCAATTTTTGAGTTAGCTAATGCAATTTTCACTACGCAGTAACTAACACAAATGTCTAAGTTCTTTTTTAAAAAGCACAACACGTGATTCGTTTTCGAAACTTGCCTTGCATGCACAACAATTTTTTTAGCCACTTGAGCTCAGTTGGTGCCAGAAATTGTGCTGATGTACGCCGGATGCGTATATCTCGACGATTTTAATTGTCTTAGCCTTGACCATCGCATGACCAATAGATTGGTGGCATTTGCATGCCGTTTGTATGGCTTCATGCATGCCTGGATAACGTTGGAAAAGTCTGCACGAAATGTTCTACACAAGTTCGCGGGCGGTTACCCCAGAAATCAAAAGGTTCTGAGCCTTGTGAGGGACAGTGCCGTGAATTGCACTAAACGATCTTCATCATGGCTGTCTCAGTTCAAAACTGCATCCAGATATGGAGCACTCCCTTTAGCTAGGCTCCATACGACTCCTGTACCTATCAACGCACCAATCCGACGGCAGCTAGGATCAGTGAACACTTGTTTGCACCTGAACCGAATCCTCGTCGGCTCTTCGTCCGCAGTCCGTACTCGTGCGGGAAGCCGAGTGACAAGACGAGAGTGACGACGGTCGAGTGACGCCCACCTGCGAATGGAGCCGCGTGCCGACGGCGGCCCGCTCCTCCGTGCTCCAGGCTCCGGGCGTCGTTGTGACGCGTCCTCGACGTCCCACTCCGCGGCGCACCCAGTGCCACTGGCGCCGCCGCCGCCGCCGCCGACGCGGTGTGACCGCACCGATCCAGCGCGCCCGACGGCGCCGACGACCGCGCCGCTACTGCTCGGTATGGGGGCCGGCCCGGCACTGGCGACTGGTCGGTGCGGGGGCCGGCCCGGCGCTGGCGACTGGTCGGTACGGGGCCGGTCCGGCACTGGCGACTGGCTGGTACGGGGGTCGGCCCGGCACTGGCGACTGGTCGGTACGGGGGCCGGTCCGGCACCGGCGACTGATTGGTACGGGGCCGGTCCGGCGCTGGCGGCTGGTCGGTGCGGGGGCCGGGCCGGCTCTGGCGACTGGTCGGTACGGGGCCGGTCCGGCACTGGCGACTGCTCTGTACGGGGGCCGGTCCGGCACTGGCGACTGCTCTGTACGGGGGTCGGCCCGGCACTGGCGACTGGTCGGTACGGGGGCCGGTCCGGCACTGGCGACTGGTTGGTACGGGGCCGGTCCGGCACTGGCGACTGCTCTGTGCGGGGGTCGGCCCGGCACTGGCGACTGATCGGTACGAGGCCCGTCCGACGCTGGCGGCTAGTCGGTACGGGGGCCGGTCCGGCGCTGGCGGCTGGTCGGTACGGGGGCCGGCCCAGTGCTGGCGCCAGGTCGCCGGTGGAGCGGCCCGGCGCGTGCGGCTGGTTTGCAGAGGAAGGCCCAAGGACGTTCTCCATCGCTGAGGTAACGGCGCGAACCCGAGGCGGACGGCCCGGAGGTTGTACAGGTTTCGCAGCGACACGCCGATTACCAATGCGAAGTGCGGGAGTGCATCGAGACCGCTGAGGTGGCCGTGGTGGATTCCGTGAGGCAAAATTAAGCATATACTTTTTTTAAATCGCACGGTAAAACAAGAAGAAAATGGTCCCAAAACAGGTCTCGTTTTTATGGCTGCAATCAGACATGTGTCTGGGAAAAAAGCTAAATTCCAGGATCAATATCAAGATCCGATCTCAGCTCTCCATAACATGGTACCGTACGTGTTCCCAACGGTGGATTGAGGCACTTGTCTGACCGCAAAGCCTGTGTCACTCATGAAAAGCAAGGGCAGTACAATCAAAACGGTACATCGTTTGATTTCGGGACAAAACAAAAGCAAATAAAAAAAGATGAGCGCAAATAGTTGACAGGGGCTGGAGTCGAAAAGCGTTGAGGTCGGACAGAAAAAACTCCAAGGACAAATATTTAAATGGGTAAAAGTTTTATCGGTAACAATTCGATGGATAGAAAATCGAAAAGGATAAGAGTTACATTGGAAAACAACTGAAAGACGAGAAGTCCATGTGGATACGAGCTGATTCGAATGAAACGCACGGACAGGAAGTCAAAAGGATTTAAAAAGGATGGTCAGCGGATTCTGACGTCCGGGCTGAAAGGCGATATCACGCTGACGCACCCGGATGCGCCGTGTAATGAATGGTTGTTGCCACGTCGTATTCCTGGGGGGTCTTATCTGAGCCCGCCGCGCTCACCTGGCAAACGCTCCCTGGGGCGGCCAGCCCTCGTGGCTCCCTGACCGAACCAAGCGCAGCGCACCCTGAGACGAAGGGCGGCGGATCTGCTGAGTGCACCCTGCTAGGCTCTACCCACGCTCCTGAAAATTTATTTTAATCATTGGCTTGTACAGCGTCGGGCAACAGACGCTCCTACTGCGGCGGGGGGCGCGCATTCGCAGCGCTCGTCGTAAAGTCAGTTTTTTCGTTAGTTCTGGTCCTGGACAGACACGTGCCTGGTTCCCAATGTTGGCTCTCGCTTCCCATCTCCCCAGCTGAACACCAAATCTCGGATCCGTGCTTCGGGGCGCTCTTGTATAAACCTCACGCTCTGGGTCCTAGATCTCACGGGTTGTTTTTGAATGTGCCGCACTATGGTTGCAAAACCTTCCTGGTTTCGTCGCAAATAATGACATGGATCCTAGTCCCAACTGGCTCCTTCACGAACACCAACATTTTGGTCTTCGTGCTCATAAGATTGCCAAAAACACCAGACCATTTTCCTGGTTTCCATTAGTTCTTTTTTCAACACCACGTCCTCATTCATGGTTTCCCCTGGTTTATTCAAAAGACCATGCCTGGTTCATTATTCCCATTGGTCCCTCACAAACATCATGACTTCGGTTTCTGGCCTACAGTGGGTCACTCAGAAAACACCAGATCTCAGCACCTGCGTCAGATTGGCTCATTTATAAACACCAACTTGGGCTACCATGTGGCAGTTGTCTACCATTGGCGGTAAATTGTCTGAAATGAAAGATGTCCTACATATTCACTCGTAATGTATGTAATACATCATAGGTGAAAAAGCTTCCGATTGACTGGACATAATCCGTGAAAATGGATATTTTGTGATCTATTTGGTGACGACAATGGTGAAAACTGAAATGAATTGCACCAGACTATCCCAGTCAGACCAAACTCCAAGCTCAGCATTGATCTGTACTTGTGAACGCTCATAGCGCGTGCTTGTGCAGAGCATATGCCGCAGCCTTGACGTTTTGCTGTATGAACAGCTTGAGCCACAGAATACCTCCAAGCATAGAAGTTTTAATCAAGATGGTTTTTTAGCAGGCGACAAAAATACTTCACAAACTACGCTACATTAGTGCTGACGGCACATATCAGTGGCGACATAGTGCTCCTCCGCTGTCGCTCTCAGCAGTGCTTATAATACATTTTTCAACCAACACTCACTTCACATACGTAAAGGGAATGTTTAACATGTAAAGACATTGAAAGAAGCATCAGATATGACGAAACAAGCCCACTTGTAACTATGATATATCTTTTAAGTGGCAAAGACTTCTCAGACAGCACGATTCTCTGTTCAGTAAATGTGCTCCTCAATGTGTCATGGTTTTCAGTACGTCATGGTGCCTTGGACGACATTGACTGGCAACCAATTGATGGCCGTTTTATCTGGAAATCGCGCTCACGAGCACCAAACGCCTCGACAAGTATGCTTCTTTGCCTTGATCACCGCATGGCTTATTGAATGGCAGGATTTGAATAACGTTACTATGACATCATGAATGCCACGATGACTTTGAAATGCTCTCCCCGATATACCTTTCGCCATTTTCGCGGGCGCCTAACTCAGAAACTAGAGGGGTTTGGGTGTTAAGAACCGCAGGATTGTAAACAGCACCGAAAGGTCTTCAAGGTGGCTATTTCAGTTGAAATTCCCATCAAAATGTGGAACACTCCATTCAACAGCATAGAATACCAAATAGCTTGGCGTATTGCTGGTCGCAAGAAACGTGCCTGACTTCCACACCTCGTGACAAATGTCATCAGTCCAATACGGGGCGTACTAAAGCATCGGCACATCTGAAACAGATGGCTTCGAATGCTCGCCACGCGGTTGCCGTTCGCGTTCAGTGCATGGCTGCAGACCACCATTGGTTGTGTTCCTGTCGTGAGAAACACACGGGCTTGAAAGACGTAGCTAATCGTCGGTTTCTTTACGGCACTGTGCGGCTCTTCTGAGGGTCTACCGTGAAGGGCGTCTCTGGTAAAAGCCTTAAAAACCTGGCCGATCTAAAAGGTCATTGTTCGTGGAAACCCGACCTGAAGCTTCAGAGGTCAGCAGAGAACGTTGGGGTGACTCATGTCATGGATTCAACCGGCCTTCCGGTGCTTTTGCCTCGGGGTAAGACGCCAATCATCGCGGGGTAGGCCTCTCACACTACTCGTCGCACCTCAGACATAGCGAGCTGACCGGTTGACAGACATGAGGTAAACCACTTTCAATTCCATAGTGTAAATGGAGCTAACTGAATGCGCTAGAGGCGTTCAAAAACGTGTTTCGCATCTGCTGACACCAATATTGTATGGGTTTCACCCTAAGTTCCATTGACTGAAGCCGGGTTGGGAAGTGTGAGGTCTGCACCGGTAATAACGGTGATAATGCGAAGATAGTGAAGGTCGCCAATGTTTCTAGCTGATTGCACGATGACAGCATCTAGCCAAAAGTGATATTGTTTCCAGGTGCTTCTATCACCATGCTTACCTATGGATGTGGGGCTGCAGGGACGCAGGTTTGGGGGATAGGGATGAGTAAGGGGCGCAGGGAGAGAAAATAGACAAGACTGTCTCTAAAATGCAAGTAAAATCGTTTTTTCCCAGATTTGACCCACTTTCTTTTCAGAGTTGGGAGCAGGGGCGTAGTTTCTCCGAATTACCTAGGGAGAGGGAGGCTGGGCTATAAGAAATTATGCATGAGAAAAAATGACACGTGACGAAAAATGATGAATAACGAAAATGGTGAGTGAAAAAAATAACTAAAACTGATAATCTACATCCATGGTGCTGAGGTACAGTCCCACAACTGAATAGGTGACTACATCCCCGCATGTATGCTAAGTATGCCTTTTCTGTAAGAATGCATGTCACATGGTTGTGAAATTCAAGCTACCAGGGATGAAATCAGGATTCACTCAATAAATCTAACGTTAATCTTGCGCCACAACAATTGCTGAAGGTGTCCAAATTGTTGGTGAGTAGTTGTTGCCATCTGGGAACCTTGCAAGGGACATCATGTTGTTATAAAGCCACATCCAACTACACCCCCAACTAAGAGTGACGGATCTCTGGAAAATTTGGCATGCAAATAGTTTCTAGATGTAAAACACATGGGGTTGGTGTCAGAATTTGAAGATTTGGATGTCTTCAGCTAAGGCTTTAGGTGCATGCATGTGGTACCTATGATTTTATTAAATGTTCCCTGCGGATGTTTTATGCATCTCCTTTCCTTTTGATGTCATGGTAATGTCATTGTGCATACACGAGGAAAATATTAACTACACTATGAAGCATACCAAACATGATGTTTGGTCATGGCTCATTCGTTGGTCCTCGCCCTGATTCACTATTCGCCATCATGTGGATTGATGGGGGGGGGGGGGCGGGGGGGACGATGCAACCTTTCCCCATGGCGTTTCGAAAATAACACAGATATAAAAATATA